AGCGAATTCTGGCCTCCTGGTGGGCCAGAGGAAGTCCCACCAACCCTTTGGGCGACAGGTGGTCTACCGATATTCTTTATTTCCTCTTCCAAAAACCCTCTTCCCCTTCGGGGAGGGGCTTACCCCTCCCCCTACCCACTCCCCTGGACCTGGACGGGGGCGGTCCCGAGCGGTCAGAAGGTGCCTTTTCGGCCCCTGGGAGGGCCAACTTCTGACACTTCTCACGAGGATCGTGGCTCCCGAGGGGGGGACCTAGATAAGGGACACCCCCCCTTTTGATCGATGGCCTACAAGATGGCCCCAAGAGGCTCTCCGAAGCTCCCAGAATAGCCCCAAGAGAGCGCCAAGAGGGCTCCAAGAGGGCCGCAAGAGGCAGAGAGGCCTCCAAGAGGCCCCCGAACGGCCTCAGAGAGCCCAAGATGACCTCCAAGATGGCTCATATAGCCCAAGCTGGCTCAAGATGGCTCCCAATATGCTCCAAACTGCCCCAAGGCCGCTCCAAGAGCGCCCAAAAGCACTCCAAGAGAGCCCCAATAAGCGGTTTGCCGGCTCCTGAGAGGGGGAGCTGAGTTGGGCCCCCCCCCCCCCATCCTGTAATCGATTGCCTCCAAGATGATCCCAAGAAGCTTTCCAGGGTTGCCAAGAGGGTTCCAAGAGGGCCCCCCGAACTCCCAGAGAACACCACCAGCAGCAGCAGCAGCAGCCACAAGAATACCTCTAGATGGCTCCATGAGTCCTCGTCCGCGTCGTCCTCATCCTAGTCTTCGTCCTCCTAGTCTTTGTCCTCATGCGCGTCCTCGTCCTTTTCGTCCTCCTCGTCCTCCTCGTCCTGCTCGTCCTCCTCCTCCTCCTCCTCCTCCTCCTCCTCCTCCTCCTCCTCCTCTGCCCCTCGCCCCCACGCGGCCCCCAGGGATGGCCCGAAGAGGCCTTCCAAGGCCGCCCCCTTGCTCCCCAGGAGCTCTCGGCTCACCCTGGTTACTCGCCTTGTTTCCCTAGATGTGTCTCTTCGTCGCTTTTCCTGTCAGCTCTCATGCGCAGGGCTTCTGAATGGTCTGGTGGGGATACTTTTTTGTCGCGGCCGCAAACGAAGGCGCCAGCGGCGAGTCGAGCCGGCTCGGGCTACGAGCGGAACTAATTGCCGGCGCGCGCGCGAGCTAAGCAGAACCTACCGCCGGGGTGGGGAGTGCAAACTCTGGTGGGGATATATTTTTTTGGTCGCGGCCGCGAGCGAAGAGCGCACGCGGCGAGAGAAATTGTCCGGGCCTACGAACAAGGGCCCCAAGAGCCCCAAGAGGTACCCAAGAGGCCTGAAGAGGCTCCAAGACAAGAGGCCCCCACGGGACCCAACAGCGCCCCGACGAGGCTCCAAAGCTGCATCCAATTGGCCGCAAAGCTGCCCCCAAGAGGTGACGAAAAAAGGTCCACCACGAAATCCCCACGAACATCCAATAGGCTGAATACCTACGACCTAGGCACTGTGGCCGGAAGGCCATTCGATAAAGGGGAGTGTCCGAGGTGCAACAGAGAATCATGAATCCAGGGGGCGAGGCTCAGGCCTGGATGTCTCAACGGAACCCTGTCGTACTCGGAAAGGCCCCCCGACAACAAATGAATCAAACATACGTCGCCTCAATTGGGGTCGGAGGCAGAGGGGGCAGCCTTTAGATATATCCGAAGAGACTCCGAGAAACATCCAAGAGACCTCTGGCGCTTCTGCTCGCCCTCCTCCTCCTCCTCCTCCTCCTCTTCTTCATCCGCCTGTTCCTCCTCATCCCTCCCGTCCTCCGCTTCCTCCTCCGTCCTCCCCCTCTTGGGGTACGGCGGTTTTCCCAGCCCATTGTGCCACTGCATGCTCCTCCGCATCTCGCATGGGCATCATTTCTGGATGGACAACTTGGATTACGCCGAACATGCATAAACGATTTGGAGTCGCGCATGATATCCTGCGTGGTCTTCCGTGTGGTCTTCCGCGTGGTCTCCCGCGAGGTCATGTGAATTGGATGCACCACCCTGTAGCATGACATAAAAAAAACACATCCTTCGACGCCAGACCCGTGTATAACGAAATTGCGTAATGTGGGTATCCATCGTCGCGTGTACGAACATTGAACTTCAACGTCCGCGAGAAGCTCTTCTCTTAACATTGGATGCAGTCTACCGCGGCAAGACGAAGACGGACAATGGGTTGTCAGAGGGCTGCCGCACCGCAGGGGGCGCACGTGACATCCGCCATCAACAGTCGTCGCCGCGCGTTCGCGCAGCGTGGGCATGCAGAACGCAAGTGTCAAACAGCAAACGATGAACCGTGGTGCTGAGAGAGTGGAGAGCGAGCGAGCGCGCCCTGAGCAGTCAGAGACCGGCCCCAAGTCAGAGGAGGGCGGTCGGCTGCGCGCAGGCAGGCGGGCCCGCCTGCGGCAGCTGATGCACAGACAAAAGCAGTGAATGGATCGAACCACGCAGGTCATGGTCATGATAGGACCTGGGATTTAGAGAACAACGCCCCGGATTTGGAACATCCTTTTGTGAATTTAGTAATATGGTTTTGGTGTTTACTAAATGATGTTGTCTTGTTTGGACTCGGTGACGCAATTGCGCAAATCCGCTTCTCAGTTTAGTAAATCATCGTTGTTCAACCACTTATTTGAATCATGCGCGTTCGTTCATTACGATGACCTTACGTTAGCCAATTGTGGGGGGGAAGGACGTGCGAAATCATAAAGGGACGCAGACAGGGAAAGCACTCCTAACTTTTGTTCGCTGGCCAGTCATACCTTTCACCTCAAAGCTTAGGTCGGGCGTGCCCCCGCACGGGTGGATTTTGGACGATGAATCAAAAATTTGAAAAAATATAGAAATTGTCGAACATGACGCAACGAACATTCCCAGACGATGTTTGGACGATTTTTAAATATTTCCTCCTCTGGAGTGACAGACCCGACGTACCTCTAAGCGCGCCCCCGCGCTGTCGAGGGGCTCGGAACGCGCTGCGGGCCCCCCCCCGGCATCTCGAGCGGAAGGCCCGGACGGATCCACGACGGGCGCTGGCTCCGCCGCTGGAACTGGGGGGTCTCCGTGCGGGGCTCGAGCTGAGATCTTCCCGTCACCGTCAAGACATCCGGCTTGTAGAAGACATTGTTATGTTTGTAACTGCTGTTTTGTTTCGAACATTTTCCCCCAAAGAAACTACGTGCGACGTCGTGGCGGGTCCGAGCCCTTTTCCGCGGCTAGCCTATCGCAGGGACGGCTGCGCGCGCGTCTGACCGAGCCTGTTCCGCGCCCTCGAGCGGATGCTCGGCAAGATCGGGCCGAGGCATGATGCTGACGATGGGGGCCACTGGGCACTGCCAGCAGTGAGGGGGAACGTGCGGCGGGCCACGGGCTCAGGGGCGGAACCATCGAGATGGAATCGGCGATGCATCGGCGATAGACCACCGACGGGCCCCCGATGGCGAGACCGCTCGCTTCTGGGCGGGGTGGGCCATCAAGCCTCCGTCGGCGATGAGTAGGCGATTGCGGATCGGATCCATTGGCTGATGGGTCTTGGGGGCCAGCGGCGAGCCCCGGCCGAAATCGAGGGAAAGACGCCTCGGGTAAAGCATGCCGTCGGAAAGCGGGAAATGAGAGGGGGAACGTAAGGGGGGGACCAACTCATGAGAGGAAACATCGAGCTGCAATCGGCGACACATCGCCCATCGATCGGCGACAAGCCACAGGTAGCGAATCCGTATGCTCCTGGGCGGGGTGGGCCATCAAACTCCCGTCGGCGATCCGTGGCCCGATTTGGGGTCGATGCATCCCCCCTGAGCTTATCCCCCCTCGCGTTGCCAATTCGTTTCGCAGCTTTGCTCTCCAGCGGCCGGTCGGGACGATCCGGGCACCTCCAGAACGGCCTCGGCGAGGCCCAGCCGCTGGAAGGCATCCCAAGGGCAAGAAGACCGCCGAGTAGCGACGAATACCAGCAAAAACCTCGAACATATCACTATCGTTGGGGCTTCTTTTTCAGCGGATAACATACGTCTCGTAGAAACCACGCGCGTCTAGGCGGCAGCGACCCAGCCGCCAAAGGGATTGGGCCAGCACCCCTGGACCGAACCCTAAAACGTCCAGGAGAGGGGGGGTGGGCCGAATCAGCAGACTTGAGAAGGAGATGTTGCGGACAGCCTCGTTTAAAGCACGTCGATTTTTCACGAACCCCAAAAGGTAGTTATGTGCACGCACCCCTCTATCAGTGGGGCTTCTTTTTCAGCGGATAACATACGTCTCGTAGAAACCACGCGCGTCTAGGCGGCAGCGACCCAGCCGCCAAAGGGATTGGGCCAGCACCCCTGGACCGAACCCTAAAACGTCCAGGAGTGGGGGGGTGGGCCGAATCAGCAGACTTGAGAAGGAGATGTTGCGGACAGCCTCGTTTAAAGCACGTTGATTTTTCACGAACCCCAAGAGATTATGTGCACGCACCCCTCTATCAGTGGGGTTTCTTTTTCAGCGGATAACATACGTCTCGTAGAAACCACGCGCGTCTAGGCGGCAGCGACCCAGCCGCCAAAGGGATTGGGCCAGCACCCCTGGACCGAGCCTTAAAAAATCACGAACATGCCCGAAAGGGGAAGTTCTTGAATTAAGGCGGGTTAGTTCGGGCAGGCGACGCCGAGGGTTAGCGGGTCGCGAGAGCGAGGTCGGAATAGTTTATCTGAATATTCCGAACCTTATGCGACAAGGAGTGAACTAACGACTGACACAGCTTCTGAGGATCTGGCTGGGCCCTGCGTGTCATCGCGGATCCTTCTAACTGATGGTGTTTGCACACACGTCGGAGGTCCAACAGATCAGCTCTGGGGATCCCGCCACATATGAATCTAATTCGCTTTCTCCAAGGGGTCCCGAACTGGCAGAAGTCAGACACTACGGCTTCGACCGCCTCCAAGGACATCAGGGCCTGCACCTGAGGGAGTAGCCAAATCTTGGACGAATTCGGGTTCTCGATAATCCATGGTATGTTTCTGGCGTGCATATATCTTATAAGGTTGAGGCGAGAGGTTAGGCAAGCGCTGCCCTGGAGCAGCTATACAGCATCACGGGTGCTGCACCAGGGCGCTCCCCAAGGAAACTCGGGCGCCCTTATCACTACCGCGCAGTCTCTGGCCACCGAGAACGTCTGACACGAGGGTGCAAACATCGCGGCCAAAAGCCTGCCCGCGCTGGCATCTTGGCGAATGCAACGGAGCACAAGCGGGCGCGCCAGGTCGCTCGAGGGGTCGCCCTGGACCACCCAGGTTCGAGCGGGCACGCCCAGGCGACGGCTGGCGCGGGCGACGCCGCCCGCGGCGGCGAAGAGGCCCCCCCAGGCACTGGCCCCTCAGCGGCGCGCCGTGCCGCTGGCACCGCGGCCGGCGCCCCGCAGCAGCTGCTCCTCGAGGCGCGCGTCGAGCGCCTCGCACCGCCTCTGGCTGGCCAGCGCGAGGTCGTGCCACGCCTTGCTCAGCCTTGCTGCCTTCTCGTGCCGCGCGACCGACTTGCGGCTCGCCCAGCGCCCCCGCTTGCGCGCGTCGTCGAGGGGGCGGAACTGCAGCGCCCTGTCGATGCTGGGACCGCTATGCCTCATCATGTAGGGCACCGCCGGGGCGCCGAGCTGGCTGCGCGTCTCCCTGAACTGCTTCGCCAGCTCTGGGCGCGTGAAGGTCCGGACCGGCTTCCCGCGGGGGGCCCCCGCAAGCGCCGCCCACAGCGGCGTCATCCACTGCTGCCGCTTGCAGTTCAGCACCACGCTGTCGTCCATCGCCCGCGCCTTGGTGGTGATGCCCCTCGTCTGAGGGCAAATGATCAGCGACTAATGTCCGGGCGCGTCTCGGGTCGGCCGGCCAGGTCCTCGGGCCGGAGCTTCATCAGCTCGCGGGGCCGCAGGTAGGCCCCGACGCCCAGCAGCACTGCCGCGGCCATCAGCCTGCGCCCCCGCAGACAAAGGTCGGCGGCGATCGCCTTCCACGCCGCCTGGGGCAGGAGCCGCCTCGGGCGGCCGGGCGCAAGGCGGCGCCGCCCGCGGAGGCAGCGCCAGGCCCGCGGCAGCCTCCGCTTATCCCAGCCGTGCTGAAGGCCGGGTGGCGGTCCGCAAAGGCAGCCAATGCCTTCTCCCCGCAGTCCGGCTGCTGGCCACCAAGGAAGCTCGAGTTGAAGAGCTTCACGAGCCAGACGTCCACGCCGTCGTCGTCCGCGAGCGTTGGGTCGAGCTCCTTGGCGAACTGCTAAGTCCGTGGAGGTGGCTCGAGTAGTAGCGCCGAACGTTGTCCGACACCGCCTTGGCCTCCAACGGGCTGAGCCCCTTCTTCTCGAAGCCCAGCGCCGCCCCCAGGAACTCCGCCAGCCGCCGCCGCGACCTCCTGTTCAGCCCCCGCGCCCTTCCGCCGACGGCGTCGGGCTTGGGCTCGGACGAGGAGCTGCCGCTCGAGCTGGTGCCGGCTGGCCCCTGCGCTGCCGGCTCTGCCTCCGGCGTGCACTCCAGCAGGCTGCGGCTCGCAGGGCGCGGGCGGGCCGCCGCGGCACGCGCTTGGGCCAGCGTCCTCAGTCCGCTCCCACGGGGCCGCCCCGCGAGCCGCACTCCGCGCTCCCGTGGCCAGGGGGGGCCCCGGTGCTCGCCGGCGCTTCGGACTCGGCACGTCGCGAGACGTCTGCCGAATCATGGCGCGGGCCCGGCGAGCGCCCTGAGGAGTCGGCATGCGAGTACCCAGACATCCGACGACCTTGATTTAATTGAGGTCGTCGTATGACCTTGATTTTGTCGGATGACTCCAATTCCTCCAGATCCTATGAGATGACTCCAATTCTTCCAGATGTACGACATTGTACGATCGCACAACAGCTCCCAAACCGAGTTGCAGGTGATTGCCAGGGGCCATGTCGTCGATTGCCAGGGCCTGGCCTTGGCAATCGAAGGCGCGGTCTGCCCTCGCCCTTGTCATCGCGCTGATAAAAATCGCGCACTAACGTGTATACGTGTGCTATGATATGCTACGCTATGACATGTTAATTCCTTGGTTTGGGGGGTTACGGCGGAGGCGGGGGAGGTTCATACCATGGCCACTGTGCCAACCCGCCAGACCCGTGGACCTCGCCGCCGAGCCGAAAGGCTGCCGTGGAGCGGCACGGCGGCGGGGCCACCCTTCCCACCCCAGCGGGCCGCAACGGCCTGCGTTTTTTTGGGGGCCCTCTGGCGGTCCCGCTGGGGCTCGGGTCGCGGGCAGCGCGTGGTCTGGTCCTGTGGGGTTGCCACGGGTACCCTCGAGGGAGGGTGGCGGTTCGGGGGAGGAGGAGGACGGAGGATATTACTTGTTTGCTTTTTGGATACCCCCTGTGTGTACATATATACACACATGTACCAATTTGTGTATATATACACATATGATATGATATGTATCCTTTCCCTGGCTGGGACCCCCCCGATCGATCGACCCTAGAATCCCCGATCGTGGGGGCCCCTGGCGCGCGCGTGCTTGCACACGCGCGCAGACGCCTGGCTCGGGCGCCGCGCCGCGCGGGGGGCCCTCCGCGCCAGGCGCTCTCCTTCGGGCTCCCCCTCAGAAGTGAGAGAAGGGTCGGAGGGGAGGGAAAGGAGGGGAGGGCAGGAGAGAAAGGCTCGAGGGGGATCGAAGGAGATATCCTCCAGCGCCAGGGATCCCATGGAGGACAGCAGGCGGCTTCGACGCGAAGCTTGCGCAAAGGTGCCGAAGATGGCGCTGGCCCAGGCGCTCAGAGGGTCGGAGGGACAGAGGAACGAGGAAGATAGGAATGGGCCAATGGATGTGGCACGACGAACGTTCGTCCTGCCACATCCATTGACCCACTCATGACGTGAGGTGTCCGGCAACCTGTCCCTCCCTCCCTCTCTCTCTCTCTTTCTCTCTCGATCCGCTTCCTTCTGAATCATGTGATTATATTTCAGGTTTACTATCGCAGTCTATCTCCCACTCAATCCCTCCCTTTCTCTCTCTCTCGTGTATACACATGTATGAACGTGCATACATACATACATATATATATATGTATATATATGTGTGTGTGAATGTAAATGTGTGTGTGAATGATGCATATACAACATGCGTATGGATATACAGGCATATGTACATAAATATGCGTGCGTGTTTGTGCATGTGCGCCATCGCTCTATCTCTCCCACCCTTTATCCCTCCATGTTTGCGCAATCGCTCCATCCCTGATCCATCCATCCATCCAATTGTGTTATCTTGTCTCTCTGACTCTCTCTCTCTCTCTTTCATTCGCTCTCCTTTCTCTGTGGCCTTGCGGCCCGCGGAGGTGCTGGCAACTACGACGATGACCACATTCAAGAACAGCTGCATCCCAGACTTCAAGGCTGGCTACGGGCCAGACTACAATAGCAGGGCCAACCCGAAGAAATTGATGGTCGGATCGGGCAGGAAGCACGGCGCATTCATGTGGAGAAGGAGGAGGGGGAGGAGGAGGAGGAGGAGGAGGAGGAGGAGGAGGAGGAGGAGGAGAGGAGGAGGATGAGGAGGATGAGGAGGAGGGATCCGTTGCCACTTCTCCTTAAATATTCTGCTCAGACTTGGACTTTTAGGTGAAGGGGGAGGGGCAGGGCGATAGGTCGAGAGCAGGAGAAAAGAGTGGAGGAGGAAGGGAGAGAGAGAGAGAGAGGGATATCTATAGAGAGAGGGTGTAATAGTGGCTCGCCGAGCTCAGGAGGCAAACGGCAGGAGCTCCAGTGCCACTGATCATGATCATCATCGTCGTCAGCATCACCACCATTCGTATCACGATCGTCGTCACATCATCCTCAGCATCAGCATCATCACAACTTTAGCATATCCCGATCCCCATCCCAAAAGTGAGAGCGCGATGGAGATGGTGTGCACGATGGGTACGATTCTGGGAGTTGGGAGGCGTACGACGAGTTCGCGTCGCAGCTGGATGCCCTGGGCCAGGGCAAGCGGTTTTCTCAAGATGACGTCGAGGCTCGCTCTTGCTTCGCACGCATCTTGTCTCCCTATCCGTCCGCGCGCCTTTGCCTTAATTCGCCCGCGAGGGCGCGAAGATGATCGCGCTTCGCGCGTCGCGGTCTGGACGGAGGCGAAGCGATCGCGCGGGCGCGGAGGTAGCGATGAGGGCGACGGCGACGACAAAGACGAGGAGCACGAGGAGGAGGAGGAGGACGATGACGACGATCGATGTTTCGCCCTCGCGAGCAGGCAGCCTGGGATGACATGTGGCACAACGAGCTGATGACGTACATGAAAGAGCTGGACCCGTACAAGAGGAGGCCGTCGAGGCAGATCATGGAGGGGCACAGGCTCCACGGGAAAGGAGGGCGTGCCAAGAGAGGATGCGTAAGACGGGAGGTGGAGGGAGAGCGTTCGAGGAGGTCAGAGGTGAAGAAGAGATGAGGTCAGGGAGGCTTCGAGATGATCAGTCTCCCTCGGATCTCTCACTATCTGGCCACTCCTCCCCCACCTCCCTCCCCGTCGCATCCTCACCGCCACGCCGCGCTCCGCATGACCCATTTCCCATCTCCCCACCTGAATCCGTGCGGTCGCCCCCTCTCTCTCTCTATCTCTCTCTCTCTCAGGTCTCGTGCCAAGCCAGGTTCGTCCAAGCTCGCGCGATCAGATCCATCCACAAGCACTGGCAGCTGCACAACGGCACGTATCAAGACTCCCCTGCCAAGGACTTCCAGGACGGAACAGAACGGGCATTGGGTGAGCACAGCATCGTTGTCGCCATCGTCAGCATCATCATCTTCATGATCAGCAGCCGCAGCAGCATCACCACCACCACCACCCTGGTCATGATCATCATCAGCATCATCAACAGCAGCATCATCAGCAGCATCATCATCATCATCACCATGCGTCCTCGATCGCCAACATTCAAACTCCCCATGGTCCACAGAACAGCCGTAACCATCTGACTCACCCTCCTCATCATCATCTGCATCCTCACCATCATTATCGCTATCGCCATCGCCGTCATGCTCATCACTCCCCATCCTTTTTTTCAAGGAGTACACTCTGAACATGTGGTTCAGCCCCCTCCCTACATACAGATCCCTAGGCGGGGCCGTTCTACAAAACGTATGTGTCATAGTCCTTGATATGCATATGCCTCTTCGTCGGCATTGGCCCTCAAGAGTTACAGCGTATATGAGCTTCCGTTGTGCGTGAGCTTCCCTCTTTGTACCCGTCCCGTTCCCTCAGGACTTCCCTCCCTTGTGCCCGTTTACTCCACCTCTTTCCCTCCCTCCATTGCCTATTCAATCCCTTCTCCTCGACATGCGAACCCAAAATAGGGGAGGACGACGCTTAAGAGCCGTACAACAGCGACGACGAGCAGGAGTCGAAGTTCGCCTTCTACAGCGCGATCTTGGACCAGGCAGAGAGATCGGCACCGAGGGGGGTGGGGATGCATGTGTGCTATCGCATGTTGCTGCTATCACGTTGACCATCTGCTCGCTTAGTCTGGCTTCGCTCGTTCGCTCGGTCTCGGTTGCGTTACGACCTCGAGGGAAAACAGACGGGGAAAAGATTAACGGTGAAAATGTGTGTGTGTATATATATATATATATATATATATTGGGGGTCCTACCCTTCGTGCTGCACAGTCCTTCAGGGTGGGCGTCTGGATCCTCAAAGGTGGGCCCCATCGGAGTGCTGGTCTGACTTCGCGCGTGAGGTGGGGCAGGGAATGAGGAGGTGGGTTCGTTCACCTGGACCTGCTACTGATATGACGCCCGTCACTCATAAGGGTGGTCATCCCCCAACTCCTCCTCATCCTATTCCCCCCCTCCTGATATTACTTCCAAGCACAGGCGTACTCGTACTAATCCTCCGAATCCTCCTGATCCTCCTACTCCTTCTTATCCTCCCAATGGAAGGGGAAGTTTTTTGGCTACCTGTCCCTTGGGTTCGATGGGGGCTGCTGGACTTGGACCTGCTCCTACTCCAGGAGGGTGGAGGAGGGGGAAGCGGGTGAGTTTACTTGATCTGAGTGTTCTCAGCACGGAGCACTGGAGGGCAAGCATTTACTTTAATTGTTGTTGGATTTTCAGAGATCCCCTTGGAAGAGTGCAGCTGACTGCATCGCACGAGGTCCGCGACCCACCGATCAACCGACCGTGCTCTTTGTGCGCCTGCCTCCCTCTCCTCATCCCTCACACACATGAGTGTATTTATGTATGTACATATATGTAGATATACGATCAAAAAAACTATCCCTATCTATATACAGATGTGATGTGTGTATACGCTTACACATAACATGTCTATATAACTATATATATATATACATCCTGCATCTCACGACACACACGCACACAAGAGGAATGGGGAGAAAGAGAACGAGACAGAGAGGGGGCAGTGGAGGTGGACGGTCAGACGGGTGCTCCGGATGAGATCCAATCAGCTGGCCCGACGGGTACTCCAGAAGACGGCTTGGCTGGCGCGTTGGTTCAGACTGGCAGTGAAGCAGGTAGCTCCTATGGTTATGGTCCGAGTACTCCAGCAGGCAGTGCATGCGCGTTGGTTCCGACTGGC